GCACTCATCTGCCATGTCATGTGTCCATGTCTCAGCTCACATCATGTGGTTCCCTCAGACCCCCTTGCTCAACCTCCATAGACAAAACCGCTATGCTCCTCGACTTCATGGAATGCAAAGTCATCTAAGCACATCGTCCTGATTTCAGCTTCGTGATTTCATCGTCCTGAAAGCAGCAAGCCATAATGAAGCAGTGATTATATCAACAGCCCTCAAAATGAATAAAAAGTTTAAAACAGGTTATTCACTCAACAACTATTTACTGAGGAGACAAGTAAGATGTTGAGGATACAAAAAAAGCTAGTCCCTGCCCTTACACAGTGTATAAGCTAGTGGGGGAGGCAGACATAACCAAATAATCATGTAAGCAAAAAAAACTACCAAAAAGTAAAAAATTAAAAGAATAAATTACCAAAGATGATGGTAGCTTGGCTAGTGGGGTGGCAATGAAGATGAAGACAAGAGGCCAAGATAGACAGGTCCTTAAAAGGTACTAAAAGCTAAGAAGACAGTGGCTGGGCGCGGTGGCCCACGCCTGTAATCCCAGCACTTTGGGAGGCCGAGGCGGGCAGATCACGAGGTCAGAAGATTGAGACCATCCTGGCTAACATGGTGATACCCCGTCTCTACTAAAAATACAAAATAGCCAGGCGTGGTGGCGGGCACCTGTAGTCCCAGCTACTCAGGAGGCTGAGGCAGGAGAATGGTGTGAACCCGGGAGGCAGAGCTTGCGGTGAGCGGAGATCACGCCACTGCACTCCAGCCTGGGCGACAGAGCAAGACTCCATCTCAAAAAAAAAAAAAGAAGAAGACAGGTACTAAGAGGTGTTGGTGACAGACATGGGCAGTGAATGAGAGGAAAGAGTCAAGTATGATTCCTGGTCCCTGGGCCTGGGAATCTGCAGAAGGACCAGGCTGGGGATAAAGGCAGTTCATGAGTTTAGTCTTGGCCATGTGAAGTCCCAGATGCCTTGGCGTGATCCAAGTGGAAATGTCAAGTGAGTCACTGCACATATGGGTTTGAGGGTCCGAGGACCAGTCATGAGTGGAAACAAAACTTTGAGAGTCAGGTGGTGATGAAAGCCTTAAGTGTGAACGAAGTTGACTGAGTGAGAAGATGGGTTGGGAAGAGAATCAGCTGCAGAACTGGGTCTTGGAAAACTCCACCACTGAGCTTGGGGTCTCCCCAGTAACAAAGATCCCAGTCATTTTGGCACCACTTCAGTGTGATGACTCCCAGTTCTGCCACTGACCCTGTGTGCATTCCGAATCCAGTACTTAACCTGTCTGAGCTTCCATGTCGCACACCCCACACATTCTTTGTCAGTCTTTAATCTCTCCCCTTTTACTAACTCCCTACTCATACACAATTCCTTGCCTCGAAACTCCTCCTTCACTCCCAGCCCCCACCCCAGCCCGTCGGTGAAAGGGAATGAGAGCTCCAGAACCAGCTGTTTCCTTTCTGAGAGGTCCTCAGGCCTGAATGCTCTTTGGAATCACCAGGGAATTTAACAAGATACTAATGTCCTGGCCCACCAGGAGATGCTGATGTCATTGGTCTGGATGGCCTGGGTGGTGTGAGTTTTTCAAAGCTCCCCAGGTGGCGCTAGTGTGCAGCCAGAGTTTAGAATCCGGGCTTAGAACCAGAAAAGCTGGGATCCCCCAACTGGCCAACTCATTCCCTGGCTTTGTACACAACACTGTGACAGGAAGGATTTCTCCAGCATTGCAACTGGTAGCCATAGCTGGCTCCCCCTAGGACAAGATGTGGATCTCCAGATCGAGGCCATCTTTGGCTCAGAAGGAGGGCACTCTTCACCTCAGATTTGGGGACACGTGACCCTTAGGGGCTGAGAGCCTAGACTTTGGCATCAGACAGCTGAGTCTTAGGTCTTCTTACAGGCCTGGAGATTTGGACAATCACCAAGGCTTTCGGAGCTTCAGTTTTCACCCTGTAAGAAAAGGAACACAGGGTCGGGTACCGTGGCTTACGCCTGTAATACCAACAGTCTGGGAGGCCGAGGCAGGCGGATCACAAGGTCAGGAGATCGAGACCATCCTGGCTAACAGGGTGAAACCCCGTCTCTGCTAAAAATACAAAAAGTTAGCCGGGCGTGGTGGCACGCACCTGTAGTCCCAGCTACTCAGGAGGCTGAGGTAGGAGAATCGCCTGAACCCAGAGGCGGAGGTTTCAGTGAGCCAAGACTGCACCACTGCACTCCAGCCTGGGCAACAAAGCAAGACTCCATCTCAAAAAAAAAGAAAAAAGAAAAGGAACACAGTAGCCAGCAGTGTGGGAGTGTCGCAAGAGGGACTTGCTATAATCTCCATACACAGTACCAGCTCATAGATGCTCTCAATAAATTGTTATGGGTGTGATTTTTAACAACAGCAAAGTTCCTCCTTCCTCCCATGAATACCCTCTCTTCTCCCTCCTCTCCTTTATTCTCTGGTCACCCCCTTGACTCCCCAAAATGTCGAACAGGCTAGTGTCATAGGGCATATCCAACAATAAAAATATAATAACTATTACTTTTTTTAACCTTTATTTTAGGTTCAAAGGTACATGTGCAGGTTTGTTATATAGGTAAACTTATGTCACGGGGGTTTGTTGTACAGATTATTTCATCAACCAGGTACTAAGTGTCGTATCCAATAGCTATTTTTTTCTTTTCCTCTCCCTCCTTCCACCCTACACCCTCAAGTGGGCCCCAATGTCTGTTGTTCCCCTCTGTGTCCATGAGTTCTCATCATTTTTCTCCCACTTATAAGTGAGAGCATTCAGTATTTGGTTTTCTGTTCCTGCATTAGTTTGCTAAAGATGATGACCTCCAGCTTCATTCATGCTCCTGCAAAGGACATGATCTCATTCTTTCTTATGGCTGTGTAGTATTCCATGGTGTACATGTACCACATTTTCTTTATCCAGTCAGCCACTGATAGGCATTTAGGTTGATTCCATGTCTTTGCTATTGTGAATGGTGCTGCAATGAACATATGTGTGTATGTGCCAATTTATATTGTTTTCGATATATACCCAGCAATGGGACTGCTGAGTCAAGTGAGCTACCACTTATTACGTATTGACTCTGTCAGTCTTTACTGATGATTTAGACTTGAGCACAGATGCTCACACCAATGGCATGAGGCAGTAATGACCCCATCTTCATGAGGTTCTGGAAGTTTAAGCATGAAGTTGTGACACAGTAGGCAGTGGCAACTTAGGCCTGTCTGACTCTAGAGACAGAGCTATTCCTGCCCCTTGTAGTAATTCTGGTTCACAACATGCTTATTGGTCCACTTGTCATAGTTAGATTATTTTAAAATTATAGAATCTTAGTTTAAACTCTGGAATGGGTAGTATTAAATTATGCTCCACAAGGCCCTAGGGATCCACAAGGATCCCTTCACATGTTTCCTAAAGCATACCCCTACATGCTTTGGGAAACACGTGAAGCCAGGCTTTGATGCCTGCAACCTCCACTCCAACCAGAGCAACTCTGCTTCCATCTATTGGGAAAACTACCAATTTTACAGATGAGGAAATTTTCAGTTAGTTGGAGGCAGGGCCCTTTCCTCCTGCCAGAATGCAGAAGACACATGACTTTCCCATTCCAGAGCTTGCTCCGTGGTACCAACCCGCCATTTTTGCAACCACAGGGGCCCTTCCTCTGCCTGGTGGGCTGCCATTAGGACGCAAAGAGGGGGCACCCCCTCCACAGGGCCAGAGGCTTCACTGCCCTGTTTGTACTCGATTCCCGGGTCATTCCTACCAACCCCACTGACTGTGGTGTCAGAAAGTGCAGACTTGCACTGAGCGCTGGGTCACCCTGAGCCCCCTGTTTATTTTCCTTCCTGGATACATTGGTGACTCGGTGTTTGAAAAGCTCCAACAAGGCTGAAACAAGAGTTCATAGGAGAATGGACATTCACCTCAAGGAGGCCTGCTGGTGATTTGGAATGTCCCTTTGGAAGGCTTTTTAATAAACTTTGTTTGTATCTGCCTTGATGAGGAACACATTTGCCAGGGACTTTGCAGGGATGTTTGGTTTCGAGGCTTCCCTTTCTTGGCCTTAGAAGTTCTTGGTGGCAGTGGCTGCCTGCAGACCCTTGGGACTCCCCTGTGGAGCGCTGACCTGCCTCCAGCTTTGTCCCAGTAACTTTAGTCGTGCTACACTCCTGGCCCCTGGTGTCCCTGATAAACTCCACGGCGGAAATTACCGGGTCAGAAAGTGTGAAAGTTCAACAGGAAAATAGGTCCCACTGCCTTTTTAAGAAGCTTCCAAGCCTAGCACTGACATTTGTTTTTTCAATCCATCCAGCAATGTCTTTGACTCCTGCCTCTCCCAGTTCTCCACTTTTCCAGCCTACAACAATTATGAGAATCAATTTTAGTCTTTTGCACGTGCGCATGCACACACACGCGCACGCACACACACACACACACAGCAGCAGCAGCAGCAGCTCCTGGCCAAACAGCAGCTCCTGGCCCATTATAAAGAGGAAAACATTTTTGCTCTTCACAACAATATCCTATTTGGCCAAAAAGAGATGAACATTCAGTCCCAAATGCTCAGTGGCTTGGGGTATGTGCACGTTGACCAGTCACAATCTGGGGAAGTGGTGGCAATGCCACCCTTGCTGGCAGTTATTTCCATTTGGCTCTGGAAGCAGAAAGCAGAAGGTGGTCTAACTACAGCTGTTAGGTGGGCTGTGATTCCAGGTCGGGAAAAAGGGCAGAGGCAGCAGAGCAGAGGATGACTTCCCTGAGACCCAACTGTATTGAGTGCCCACCCTGACTGACTGATTTGGCAAAAATAGTAACAACATGGAGAGAGGTGGCAAGAAGAAGACACAAGTAAGAAATGCACTACAATTCATTAAGACCAATAAAAAAAAATTAGCCAGCCATGGTGTTGCATGCCTAAAGTCCCAGGTACTCAAGAGGTTGAGATGGGAGGATCACTTGAACCTGGGAGATGAAGGCTGCTATGAGCTATGCTCGCACCACTGCGCTCCATCCTGGGTGACAGAATGAGATCCTGCCTCAAAAAAAAATGCCAAAGTCTGGAACCTGCTGTGGTCAAGGTGGTGCCAGAGGGACAAGGCTTCCCATCAGTCTCTGTAGTCACTCTGGCCTGAATTCAACCCAGCTCTCCTCCTTGCTGGCTATGAGATCTTGGACAAGTTACTTAGCCTTTCTTCGCCTCAGTTTTCTCATCTGCAAAATGGGAATATTAATACACTCCTTGAATGACTGTTTTTAGGATTAGAAATAATACATGATATACATGAATATAAATGCACAGAAAATAATCTGAACAAATAAATACCAAGGTTGAGAGGGGGTGGAGAGAGTAAGGAGGGGATTGAATGGGGGGAGTTCCACTTTCACCAGGCAGATAAGGATAGCAGGTGAGGGGGAAAGAGAGAAGAAACCGTGTGTGTGTGTGTGTGTGTGTGTGTGTGTGTGAGATTTATTATATCATGTGCTTAGCACATTGTACATAGCAAATGCTCACTATTAAATAGCAACCTTCACCCCTAAGAAGTCTGAGAAAAGAAAAAAATAAATAGTAACTATTATTGATTTTTTTCTCAAAAAGTCCTGAGTACTATAGATGTGATAAAGGGGTTTTCACCATCAAAAGCCCCTTGTAGAAGTCTCTTTTGACTCTGATGGGGAAGAAAGGAAAGAGTTTTGGTCAAGGGCCCCTAATCCCTTCTTTATTTTGATTCAAAAACACCAATGGGAGAGGAAGCTGGATATGTGGACACTCAGTGGGTCACTTTCTTGTGATGAAATCTGAGAGAGTACAGGTCTCCGCCTGGCTGGCCAACCCGTGGCCTCCCTTCCGGCCTCTGCTGGAGCTGCTCTCAGGCTGAGTTCTTGCTGGCCCGGACGGCCTGCAGCGCCTCGCTCCTGATGCCATCCTGGAGGGGCAGCCCAGATATGCGGTACAAAAACACACCAGCAGCAGCCCATTTCATAACATCACGTGTCCAAATAAATGGAGCTGTTGACTCAGGCTAATTAGATGAGCGACCTTTCCTAAAAAGCAATCTGTGTGAAGCTAAGAAAAACAGGATTCTTGGTGGAATTAGGCCCCTAATCCCTGGCTTCCCCAGCAGAGCCGTGGTCTGAAGGAGCCAGGGGACCTCCCAGAGATGCCCTGTCAAGAGCTGGAGAGAAGGCTGCATTCCTGTCCTGCCACCTGCCTCCAGGCTGGCTCATCCTGCCTGGGCAGGAGGATGGGAGACTCAAGGCCTCAGTGGGACCAGGACCCCTGAGCTGTGGACAGCTGGAGTTGGTGAAGCAGCCCCAGGCTCCCTGCATCACCCGAGTTGGGCTTATTTTGACCTCCAGAAAATGGGCATCTCCTCAAACTGTGGCCACTTGGCTTCCCTTCCAAGTGGAAATTAATGAAAGGCAGGGCTGGGTTTACAGAAGCACACACACCACTACCAGCAAACAAAATAAAGAACAGAAAAAGAGAAGGGGATGTGCTGCAAGGCATCTGCAAAGAGGCCAGCCACCTCACTGGGCCCTCACATCTCTTACCATGGGTACCTGCGAGCAGGGGCTTGAGCCAGCTCTATACCTGGGCTAGTCCAGATCCAAAACTTACTCTGGCTTCATGGGTACTCCAGGCAAGAAGAGGGGTCAAGAGTGTGGGCTCCGGAGTCAGATCAAGTCAAGGATGGTCTCCACATCCAGGCAGCCTACTCACCTTTTCTCTGAGTCTCTAGTTGCTGCATCTTTAAAAGTTAATCGTTGACTCATTGCTATGTCATAGGGTTTGCTGCAGGGACGAAACCAGGAAATGTGTGTGAAGGGCTTGGCCCCTTGCCCAGCCAATAGGAAATGCCCCCATCAGTGGCCTACCACTGCCCGTAATGCTTGTGGAGCTTGTGGAGAGTGGGTAAGATTGTGACCCCTGCCTGAACATGGGGAGCTTATGAACTGGGGAGATGAGGCAGACTTTAGAAAGAGGCCTACGCACCCTCAACGAAGAACCAGGGCAACTGGAGTAATCAAGAAGCACTTTCAGGAGAAGCAAAAATGGCCAGGGAACCATAAAGAAGTGGCAAGGATGCAGGCCAGGTGTGGTAACTCACACCAGTAATCCTAGCACTTTGGAAGGCCAAGGCCAAAGGATCGTTTGAGTCCAGGAGTTCAAGACCGGCCCGGGCAACACAGTGAGACCTCATTTCTAAAAAAAAAAAAAAAAAAATTAGCCAGACATGGTAGTAAGCAACTATGGTCCCAGCTACTTGGGGGCCTAAGGCTGGAGGATGGCCTGAGCCCTGGAGGTCAAGGCTGTAGTGAGCCATGATCGTGCCACTGTACTCCCACTTGGGTGACAGAGTGAAACCCTGTCTCAAAAAAAAAGAAAAAAAAATGGAAAAGGAAAGGCAGGATTCGGATAAGTAGAGAGGATAGGGGATAATGAGAATAGGAGGATGATGACGTTCAGGTGGGAGGAACAGCAAAGGCCAAGGTGGGGAGCCAGAAAAGAGCCTAAAAAGGCTAATGTGGCAGAAAGGCAGCACATGGGGCCAGCTGGAGGAGTTTGGCATGCTGGGAAAGATGGGCAGATCAGACAGCTGCTCAGCCCTTGAGTGGGCCCAACAAGGCCCTTGACCAAGTAATGGGGCCTGAGCAGGAAGTTCTGCATCAATCAAACCTTCACCTCGCATCAACACCTTGGTCCGGCCACCTGCCTTTGCCTATACAGTTCCTCCCATCTCCAGCTCCTTCTAAGGCTTATACTGTCATCTGCCTCATATGTACCCAAAACTCACCTTCCCCCAGGAGCCTTCTGTATGGGAAAAACATGGGTTTTGGAGTCAGGCTGGGCTTGAGCAAGTCATTTAACTTCAAAATATTTCATGTCTATATTTATACTTGCACAGCTGTAAAATGAGAAAAATATCTACCTCCATGGCTGTAATAAGGATGAAATTAGATACAGTGTGTAGGGTGCCTAGTTGATGTCTGACACATAAAGGTCCTCAGTAAACATTTGTGTATGAATGGATTCAAAGCCATTTAACCTCCAAAATTCCCTCCACTCTATGCAGAAAGGCCTTCTCTCCAGCCCGTGAAACCCTAATCGCCTTCTTTCCTCCCCACACTTGCTATTGTAGGCTCCCTACTGGAAGGCTCTCCTTTCACTCAGCCTAACAAATCCCCCACGAAAGCCAACTCAGGCTCAGACGCCTCAGGCCTGGCATCACATGGCCTGTCGATGGTGGACCCAGCATTGTGGGTTACTCTCTCAGCGGGCATGTCTGGCCATCCACACCTAGGGGCAGAGAACACTCCGCCTTCCCCTGTGCCCTCCACAACACCCAAGACAAAGCTGGGCACATGCAGCATGCTGGGTAGGGGCTGCTACTCAAATACCTTCAAAAGCCAAGCAGGTAATGTAAATGAAGGATGATAGCTTGGTGGGGTGGGCTGGGTGTGGTGGCTCAAGCCTGCATTCCAGCACTTTGGGAGGCCTAGGTGGGAAAGAGAATAGCTTGAGCTCAAGGAGTTCAAGACCAGCCTGGGCAACATAGGGAGATCTTCATCTCTACAAAAAAATTAAAATAAAAATTAGTTGGGTGTGGTGGTGCACACCTGTAGGCCTAGCTACTCAGAAGGCTAAGGCAGGAAGATCTCTTGATCTCAGGCGTTTAAGGTTACAGTGAGCTATGATTGTGCCACTGCACTCCAGCCTGGGTGACAGAGAGAGACCTTGTCTCAAAAAAAAAACAAAAAGAAAAAATGAAAAAGCTTGGTGGGATACAGCAAGGCATGGTGGGGCCTGTGGCAAGGGCAAGAGCCGTGTTGTGTGTTGATTGGTTGATCAAGTGACACGAGGAAGAGGCTATATAGAGATAGAAGTCCTGGATTACTTACTCACCTGGTGACTAGCCAGCCGGCTTCCCCTCTCTCTGGACGGCAGGGTCACTGTGCAAAGAAGCCAATAAAACCTATCCAGGCAACTCCCAAGCTGTGAAAAAGATCAAATGAGTTGGCACTTATGAGAACACTTTGAAAGCCTGACATTCCTTGAAGACCTGAGGGACCACGTTCAGAAGTCCTAATATTTTCCCCAAATCCCAGATGATCAGGAACAGGTGTATGGTTGGGAGAGCTTTAAAGGCCCCTGCTGCCCTGCTGGGAGCCATCTCCTATCTCCTTGGGATCTCTGCTGGCCCTAGCTCCAAAAGAGGGTGGTAATTGGGTCCCTCTGGAAAACAGCAGAGGCAGCTTAGGGCAGCTGGAGGCGGCAGAAACCCTATACCCTCCAGGGCCCTGACATTCTCATCAGTTCCCTTCCTGCCCGCCAGCCGAGCCTGCAGTTTCCGGGGACCACCTGGCTCCCTGCCCTCCCCTGTTCCCATGGCTCCCTGCTGCTTCCTTCCACTACCCTAGCAGAGGTCAGTGACTGGAGGTGGTCCAAGGCCATCTTCTCCTCAAGGTTTTGGTGGCAGCTGCCAAAAAGGCACAATGACCTCCTCAACCCCCAGCTCCAGCGTCACCCTCACCTCCTGGGGCAGGGGAACACTGGCCCAGCCTGACCCCAGACAGTGAGGCCAGCTGTCACCAGTCACCAGAGGCACAAGCCCATGAACAAGTGTGTCCACTGGCTTCACATCAAAAATGATACTCTGATAGTTACTAGGGCTCAGGCACCTGCTTTTTGCCCAGCACTTTCCATATGCACCCAGCAGCTCCAGGAGGCAGTATTATTATATTATTATATCCATTTTTCAGGTGGGGAAACTGGAGCTTAAAGAGGTTAGGTAACTTTCTAAGAGGCAGAAAGAGAATTCACTCCCAATTCTGACTACAAACTACATGCTTTTGCTATCAAAACGCCTCATGCACTAACTTCACAAACATTAACTGAGCACCTACTATGTGCCAATCTCTGTTAGAACACAGGATATAACGGTGCATAAAACAGATAGGATTCTCGCTTGTATGACATTTATGGGGCAAGAGGAGAAACAGACACAAAGGGTGAAATCAGAGAAATATATAAGTAAAAATCATGCAAACACTGTAGGAGAACAGTGCCAGGAGGCTCCTCCCTGTGTGGGGCTCAGGGAAGGCCTCCCAGGGAAGTGTCGTTTGAGCTGAGTCCTGAAGCCAGGGTGCTGAGGGTGGGGTGGGCATGAAGGAGTGCTTCCAGTTGCAGAGAACAGCCTGAGGGAGGAAGGAGAATGACAGGAGCTGAAACACCAGTGTGGCTGGAGTGCAGGAACCAGGGAGAGCTCCTCAGAAAAGGCTACAGGGACAGACTAGGCTTTATAGGCCAAGATAAGGAGTTTGCTGTCCCTTCAAGAAGCCACTGGAAAAGAGCATCAGGTTGGCATATTTCAAAGCCCACACCAGCTGTCATTTGGAAATGGATTGTTCTCACACACACACACACACACACTCACACACATACACACACACACGTACCTCATGCCCATGCCAATCTAGGCAATTCCCCTGAGAGCATCAGGACACCCAAGGGCCGAGCTCCTCCTCAGACCCACATCCAGGGCTCGAGTCTTTGCCCTATTCAGCTCAGGTCACAAACATCCTAAACCCCAAACCCCATCTGCGTGCTAAGAGGCAAATGACAGCAACAGGTCCCAAAGACCATGTGACTGAAAGCGGGTTCACTGGAGTTTCAGTGTGGAGTTGAAAACCTCGTGTGTGCAAAGTGACGATTTTACTGGTTTACATTTCTCCGCAGACTTAAATGTCTCTATCCTCTCCAAAACAGTCGACTTTCACCACCATCGAAAGACTATATTATGGGAGTGTTCATTATCCTATCTTTTCAACTTTTCTCTATTTTGAAATTTTTCAAAAAAAAAAAATTTCAGTTGGGGAGACCTGTTTTACCTCTAAGGGGGCAATTAGGCAGTATCTGCCAAAATCACATCAAAATCACATGTTCATTAATCCTTTAATCCAGCAATTCCACTTCTAGGATTATATTGAAACACATGCAAAATTAGATACATTTTCTAAAGTACTGGAGGAAGATCCCACATACATACCTAATTCAAACTGCATAAAAGGAATCACAAGAAGCTGATAATATATGATGCTTGTGAGGAAAAACCAAGTGGTTGGGAAATGGAGTGGGCAAGACTTGTGTATTTTTAACATTTTGAACCATGTGTCGATATTACCCATTCAGTACATTGGATATATGCGTGCAATGGAATACTACCCGAAAATCAACAGGAATGAACTACGGATGTGCTCAACAACATGGATTAATATACCGAATACTGCGCTGTGCAAAAGAAGCCAGATGCAAAAGACAACATACAGGACAATTCCACTCATGTGAAATTCTAGAAAGACAAATCTAATCTATAGTAACAGAAAGCAAATCAGTGGTTTTCTGGGACTGAAGTAGAGTGAGGGATTGACTAGGAAAGAGCCAAAAGAACCTTTGGGGGTGGGCCGGGTGCGGTGACTCATGCCTGTAATCCCAGCATTTCGGGAGGCCGACGTGGGCAGATCACGAGGTCAGGAGATCGAGACCATCCTGGCTAATATAGTGAAACCCTGTCTCTACTACAAAATACAAAAAGCTAGCCGGGCATGGTGGTGGACACCTGTAGTCCCAGCTACTCGGGAGGCTGAGTTGGGAGGATTGCTTGAGCCCAGGAATTCGAGATTGCACCACTGCACTCCAGCCTGGGCGACAGAGCAAGACTCTGTCTCTTCAAAAAGAAAAATCACAAGCGTTTACAGGTCAATTCTGCCTGCCAGTACCCAATCAAGCCCAAATTATTAAAAAAAAAAAAAAAAAGAATTTTTGGGGGTGACGAAAGTGTTCTATTTTGAGCAAGGTGTTCATCATATGGGTGTTTAAATGTGTCAAACATTGCTGAAATGTACACTTAAAGTGGGAACATTTTATTTTATGAAAATCATATCAGAAAAGTTAATTTTTAAAAGGAAAATACGTGTGTGCAATGTAAATCAATAAGTAAAGAGTTTTAAAGGAACAAAAATCCTTATTAAGAACCTAGTTGGAAAGGCACTGCATAACAAGCCTGACCTCACTTTGAAAGGGATAGTTAGAAAATAGTCAGGCCAGGGCCGGGCGCGGTGGCTCAAGCCTGTAATCCCAGCACTTTGGGAGGCCGAGACGGGCGGATCACGAGGTCAGGAGATCGGTGGCGGGCGCCTGTAGTCCCAGCTACTCGGGAGGCTGAGGCAGGAGAATGGCGTAAACCCGGGAGGCGGAGCTTGCAGTGAGCTGAGATCCGGCCACTGCACTCCAACCTGGGCGACAGAGTAAGACTCCATCTCAAAAAAAAAAAAAAAGAAAACAGTCAGGCCAGGCACAGTGGCTCACACCTGTAATCCCAATGCTTTAGGAAACCAAGGCAGGAGGAATGTTTGAGGCCAAGAGTTCAAGACCAGCCTGGGCAACATAGCAAGACCCCATCTCTATAAAAAAATAATTAAAATTATCTGGACATAGTGGTACACACCTGTGGTCATAGCTACTCGGGAGGCTGAGTTGGGAGGATTGCTTGAGCCCAGGAATTCGAGATTGCACCACTGCACTCCAGCATGGGGGACAGAGTAAGATCCTGTCTCTTCAAAAAGAAAAATCACAAGCGTTTACAGGTCAATTCTGCCTGCCAGTACCCAATCAAGCCCAAATTATTTTAAACATCAGACTTTTATTGATTCAACAAATATTTTAAGAACCAAACTTGGACAGAAGCAAATCCATGGGCTAGCCTCTGCTCCTGACTTGCTGTACATGTTTGTCAGCAAATGATCAAACCAGCAGCTCAAACCAGCAACTGCTGCCCACAGGGGAGGAACTGGCCAGTTTCCCAAGTCAATTTCCTTAACCCTGAAGGGATTCTCAGAGCTTCTCCCATGGTGAGGTCCATGTAATCATCACCACGAGTGATGGCCCAATTATTCTGAGCAGGTTCTTCCCCACCACTCAGGGGAAGCCACAACCCCATCTCTCACAGTGGATGCTTTCTGTCCTCTGCAGAGCATCAACAGCCTGAGCAGAGAACGAAGAAAGAATTCTGCTCTCTCTTCTATTGTCAGAATGGCTAATCCCAGCTAGACATCGGACTGGCAGAGGAAAAGATTCAGAACCCAGGACTCTGCCAATAGAAACCAGGGAGTAGCCACAGGGACCTCAGGTTCTGCCAGGGTCTGAGACAGAGGTCTAAGGGGAGAGCAGCCATCGGCTGTCCACTGAGGCCAGGATTCTTGTTCTCTCCCTCCTCTCCCTCTCCTTCCATAAACATGTTCAGTTTATTCTCATTAAATATGTACATTATATGTATATGTTTTATATATGCATATTTAAATCCCTAAACACCCCTCCAGCTGCTACTCTTTCTCTCCCCACTTTTCATCTAGTCATCTTAAGAAACTTGTCTGTGTTTGTGCTCGCTTCGGCAGCACATATACTAAAAAAAAGAAACTTGTCTGTGTTCACTCTGCACTTTCTCATCTCCCTCAACCAACTGCAGTCTGGCTGCTGTGCTACTCTCCTCGCTCCAATGTCATAAAAACTATTAATATTCTTTATAAAATGTTTATAGTAGCTTTAATTCATAATATGTATCAAAAAACCGAATACAACTCAGGCATCTAACAACAGGAGAATGGATAAACTAACTGTGTTATAGCCCAGCAATGGAATACCACTCAACAATAAAAACAAACTACAGATACACACACAATATGAATTAATCTCAAAATCATTATGCTGAAAGAAGGAAACCATACCCAAGAGAGTATACCTGGTAAGAATCTATCTATACGAATTTCTAGAACAGGCAAAACTAGTCTACGGGGGAAAATATCAAAAGAGTGACCAGGCACAGTGGCTCATGCCTGTAATCCCAATATTTTAGGAGGCCGAGGCAGGTGGATCATCTGAGGTCAGGAGTTCAAGACCAGCCTGGTCAACATGGTAAAACCTCGTCTCTACTAAAAATACAAAAATTAGCTGGGCATGGTGGTGCACACCTGTAATCCCAGCTACTCAGGAGGCTGGCTGAGGCAGGAGATCGCTTGAACCCAGAAGGTGGAAGTTGCAGTGAGCCGAGATCACACCACTGCTTGGACTCAGAAGGCGGAGGTTGCAGTGAGCCGAGATTGCACCACTGCACTCCAGCCTGCATGACAGAGAGAGACTCCATCTCAAAATACATATATATATTATTTATATATATAATATATACATGTATTATATGTATGTGTATATGTGTGTGTATATAT